GATTTCCACCTTCACTACCCTCATGAATTGATCACCTCCCAAAGTCTCCATATTCTTAACACTATCATTGTGGGGGTTAATATTTCAACATATAAATGAGGTGTGGATAAACACATTCAGACTCTGAAACATATATGAGTGTGTATGTGTGTGGGTGTGTCTCTGTGTGTGTGTTGATGCCCTCTTCCTGACTATGGGGAACATCATCACCAGTAACAGGTCATTAGACCAGGTAGCAATTGGCACTGGCCATGCAAAGTGTGCTGCCCTGGCTCCTGATACATCTCAAATGTCCATTCATCCAGAAGGAGGTAGCCTGGGCCCTGAGTGTGGCCAAGGAACCCTGCCAGCTCATCTCTTTTGGAATACTGCCTCTCTTGGTGGTACTGCTGAAAAACAGGGAATTTCAAGTTCAGATAGAGGCTCTCTGAACATTAGCTTACTTTACAATGAGGAAAACCATGGACCAGTTAGTCCATCTTGTCCTGGTCAGTTAATCCATCTTGTCCAGTTGGTATCTTGCAACCTCTGGTGAATCTGCTCACCATCAAAGATGCAAAAATTGTGCTTATCATCCTCAGCATCATCTACATCTTCCAGGTCACCAGAACCTGGTTGCTTTATTCAGAACCAAAGCCCATGTCTTTTGGTATAAGAATTCATTGAAGTTCATTGAAGTTGATATAGAGTTAAGGACTTGTAACTCCACAAAAACCCAAAGATCACACTTCCTGCCTCCAGAATTATGGGGAGATACCTATGTGAGGAAGAAAAAAATGGAGCACAAATTCAGTCCTGGACACAGAACAAGAATTTTTAAAGTGTTTTACCAACAAACCAAAGCTCCAAAACTCCTAAACCATCTCACACCTTGAAGATTAACTTCTTTTTTTTTTTTGCCTTTTCAAAACTTTTTTTTATTAAAAAAATTTTTTAATAGTGAGACATCATGAGGTACAGTTGCAGACTTACACATTTTTGTGCTTGGGTTTCAGTTATACAATGATCAAATACCCATCCCTCCACCGGTGCCTGCACTTTTGTGTGTTAATATGTATAAGTGAAGCTTTTTTATTTTTTATAAAATTAAGTTTAATTAAATGCTCACTTTCATACCCACAAGAAGTGTGTTTGTAGAGTCAGAGCATTTGCCTTGCACATGGCTGATCCAGGTTCGATCTCCAGCATCCCAAGTGGTTTCCTGAGCACTGCCAGGAGTAATTTCTGAGTACAGAGCCAGTAGTAACTCCTGAGCATCACCAGGTTGGAGCCAAAAAGACCAAAGAAAAAAAGTGTGTATGTGAATTGCTTTATTTAGACATTTGCATGAGCAGTTAGTTTTATGGTTGTGACTATATATAACTATACTTTGAATTATACTAATTTGGGGCCATTTTTTGTTCATTAAAAGCAATAGCTCTTGAGTATTTTTCAAATAGTGGTTGCTTTATATTTGATATATGAAAGGATGATCAGATGAATACAAATCATTGAGGGCATCTAGTGAGAAAATCTAGATATGTAGTTTAGTAATTGAATATGAAATTCAAACAATATTTAAAGCACATGGCTTGTTCTTTTTAAATATGATTTGCTTTATTTTGGGAGATCCCTCCCAGCGGTGCTCAGAGGAACTTGTAGTGCTCCAGCCCACTGAGCTTTCTCCTCAGACCAAGACTTTATTTTTTGTTGGAAGTTTGACAAGTCCAAAAGCTGATTTTACCCTTTTGCTGTAATTTTTGCTCACAAACACAAATGTCTCACTAACGTTAGGAGAAAAATGGAGGACTGAAATGGAAATAAAAAGATAGGAGTTAAAATTTCTTTAACTTTGCAAACTATGCCTTTAATAGTCAATGAAGTAATAAAATGAATATAGAAATTTATCAATTTAAGCTTAAGCTTTTGGAGATAGAAACAAGACTGTGGTGTCTGATTGGAGACAAAAAAAATAAAACCTCTATAACAACTCTTGAAGACTATTTATTGTGAAAATTATCATTCCATAGATTTTAAAGTAAAAAACAAAATAAGTTTCTTAGTTTTTTTAATTCTAAAAATATTAAGAACTGAAGTTATAGAAATATTATGTATAGAAATATTATGATGGTAGCTAATTTTGTGATGGCAAATAATTTTGTGTATATATGGGTAAAATGAATTTGGAAAAAGACTTTTAGTAAATTTAGTATAAAAATATGAAAATTCCTCAAATAAAACTCAAGAAAGACTGTGCCATCAAAGAAATCCTGACCTACCTGAGTAGTGTGTGCACGCGCGCGCGCGCGCACACACACACACACAGAGTTATCAACACAAATCATTTAGAAATGAGGCAAATGAATTGAAGTGTTCATGAAAGTGATGGGAGTTGGGGCTGTTGAAATCAGAGAAGCAGTTGAAGACATTCTGAGAAGTGACTTAAGACAAGGAACAGTGGTGAAAAAAGTCAAGAAAATCCACGTTCAGTAGGCAGTATGACTCAGTTTGTTCATGCAGGAGGAGAGTGATAAGCTTAAAGAGTCTCACATTAGTGGAGGCTGCTTCAGGTAAAAGTTTTATTTCTCTTCTAGGCCATAAAGAATCATTAAAAACTTTGGGAAGGGGTTGGAGCAATGGCACAGCGGGTAGGGCATTTGCCTTGCACACAGCTGACCCAGGTTCGATTCCCAGCATTCCATATAGTCCCCCAGCACAGCCAGGAGTAATTCCCGAGTACATGAGCCAGGAGTAACCCCTGAGCATCACTGGGTATGACCCAAGAAGCAAAACAAAAAAAAACTTTGGGGAGATCATTTGGCAGGGCTTGAATGATAGGGTCTGGGGTTTGAACCTGAGTTGGCTGCATGCAAGTAAAGAGCCCTACCCACTGTACTTTGGTCCCAGCCCTGAAAGTCTTATTTTAGGAAAATTACTCTAATTAGTGTTGCAGTGGCGGAATTTAAATAGGAGAACCTAATCATGGCGATTCCTGGAAAAATGATTTTGCAGGAAGAGTCAATAGGATTGGCTGAATAAGGGTGTTGCTTAAAGAAAGGCAGGCAACAAAAACAACTTTCAAACTTTAAATTTAGGACACAAGTAGCAAAATAGAAAAAAAGCATAGAATTCCTTTGGGAAATTTAATTTGGAAAGAAGATGATTATTTTAGTAAGTTAAGAATTGAGTGGGCATTTGTGGGTTGTAGGAAGACAAAACATGAGACTAACACCCAAGGACATTAGAAACAAGGGCTAGGAGGATTGGTCCATGATTGGAAGCCTGTTTTGATCACTTGGGGAAAAGAGAACTGAGATAGAGAGGCACCACTATGACAATGATTGTTGGAAATGATCACTTTGGATAAGAACTGCTTGCTGAAAGTAGGTAAAGAATCAAACATGATATTCCCTCAATATCTGTTTTGTAAACCATAAAGCTAAAAGGAAAGTAAAGGGGTTGGGGAGAGAAAGAGACAGAGAGAGACAGAAAGAGAGAGACAGAGACAGAGACAGAGAGAGACAGAGAGACAGACAGAGACAGAGACAGAGACATACAGATAGACAGAGATAGACAGAGACAGACAGATAGACAGACAGACAGAAAGGCAGGCAGGCAGGCAGAGAAGAAAAGTGCCTGCCTTAGGGTATTGTGGGAAGGAAACTATGGTCATTGGTGGTGGGAAATGTACACTGGTAGACTCATGCTATGTTTTCTTACATCCTACAAATGAGTGCAGTCATGAGTATTGGAATATTGTATGACTGAAATCCACTCATAAACAGCTTTGTAACTGTGTATCTCATGGTTACTAAATAAAAGTAATTAAAAATAAAAATAAAAGAATTGAGTGGGGAAAAGTCAGCTACAAATATCAACACAATACTGAATATATAAACTTGGTTTGTGGTTGCCTAAGGTAATGAGTACAGATTTTATCAATTATTTAATTTGAAAATATATGTGAAGCTCAGAAAATCACATTCTCTGGAATTATTCAGAAGGAATGAAGGAAGGAAGTAGAGAGAGAAAAGCAAAGAAACTTAAGATCATCAAGACATCTATCTACCTTTAGCGGTTAACAAATTGAATCAAAGCAGGAAAGTGAAAAATTGTGAGCAGAGAGTTAGGAGGAGAACTGACCTGAATTCAAAATAAGCTCCATCAAAATTTCCATCAAATTCAAGGAAAAGTGGCCATAGAAACATAGCATCACAGAACCGGATGATCAGATGACTTAAAGATTGAAGTCAAAGATCTGTGCTGAATGAGGCTTGAAAATGAAACCCAGGGCCTCATAAAAGGATGCTCTAGCTTTCTGCTGTCTGATACATCAAAAAATAGTGATTGATGGGAATTGTGGTGGCTGAATTGGTAACCATAAGGACATGCCAAATTTCAAAGATCTAGTATGAAAAAAAGGGAAGTGAAATATCTCTTTACTATCTTTTAAGTATTAATTACAAGTTAAAATGACATTTTTGTATTACTTAGCTAAATAAAACATACTATTAATTTCAAAAATGAAAAATGAGAAGCATTGTATAATTTCACTCATGAGTGCAGTGAAGAACATAAAACTGATGAATGATGAAACGTAATAGATATATAAATTAGTAAACATTGGCATCAGAACTAATGTTGCCTGACAGGAAGAGGAGTACAGAGGATAAGAGAAATGGTGATATTAAAATTTTTTAATTAAATATTTTTATCTTAGCCTTTAAAATATGATTATTAAAAATATAACAACTTTGTATTTTCCCGTGGCATTGTTGATATAGATTATAATAATGAAATGTTCTAATATAGCAGTGATCTATTATAGTGAAATATATCCAGACAAGTATGCTTTAACAGATAAATGAATTTTTCAATCCATCAGTCAGAAGTCTTTGAAAATGTGTTTTGCATTTATTTTGTGACCAGTGTATATTAAGGGAACCATTTTTAAATCTTATCCAAATTCTGATTTTGCTGAACAGTTGCTCTTTTTTTTTTTTCTCTCCCTCAACTGACAGACAAAGATGTAATTGACAGCCGCAGAACCTACACTCTAGAAGATTATCTAAAAAGTACCTTTAGGACAAAGTTCTACTCATTGCTGTGGATTTCAGGTAAGGATTTGGGAGAAAGGGAGTAGGTTTTTAAGCATCTGTTCGTTCTTGGTAGTTTTTGAGGCACATTTTTAATGGAACTAAGGAGATATCCTTGATTTTAAAAATACTTTGGGAAAGTACGTTTTTCCTAGTTAGGGCTACAAGGGGAGATAAGACAGAAACTATTTATTTGATATATATTATAAAATTTTGAATGTGAGTTGAAGCCTTGCCAATAATTATAGAAAAATGAATGCGTACTAGTGTAATATTCATCATGTAATGTTTTTCTAACAGAAATGTTTGCTTAGTACTCATGTGAACTTACATCTTAAATTTTTATTGCATAACATTTATCTTACAAAGATGTTTAATAGAAACTTGAAATAACGATCTGGCCATTTTCTTTCTTTAGATAGTGAATATCTCCACAAACAAGAAAATAATATCTTGCTATTCAATGCTGAATATGGAAACTACACCACTTTCCTGAAGAACAGTACATTTGTATGTTTAATCACATAATTAATTCATGCTTTAAGGAAATTCTGAGGAATTTTTTTCATAACCTTTCAAATCATGAGTTGAGATCATCTCTCATCCTGTTGGACTCTGCAGCATATGGCACAGTGGATCTTTTTCTCCTTGAAATGCTCCCTGTCTTGCCTATTCTCTACTCTCCTTTGATGATTCTTCCTCCTCTGCTCATACTACTAAGTGTAAGTGCTCTTGGAGACTCTTCACTGACTGCCTTCTCTCCTTTCTTCACATGCTCTCCTTCAGTGAATTTTATCTCCTTCCACAATGACGGTATTCCCTTTCTTTACTTGATTCTCAAATACACAGTTTTAACACTAACCTCCTCCCAAAGCCTAAACTCAATCTCTGTCAGTTTTCTAATGAGTTTGCTGACTCCTGCATGCATTTGTACCTGAAGCTAAACAAGTTCTCCCCTTCACTCTCTTGTAAGTTAAAAGCTTCCTTTCCCCCTCCATCCAAACCACTAAGCTCTACGTTTCTAGCTAAATCTTAGAATTCCTCTTGATTTTGCTGTCATATTTTATTTTCAGCTACTCATTAAACCCCATTTTCCCTGTGTAATATCAAGTGTTTTTCACAGTTCCACTTCTATAGATATGGTCCAAAACCTTGTTTAATCTTTTGGTATTATATTCTGTGTTTCTGTCTTCATCCTACAAACCAGGGACTACTGTATTATCCAAATCTAGGACTGATGCAACTCATTTCACCTCATTTCATCTCATTTTATCCTATCCCATCCCATCCCATCCCACCCCACCCCATCCCATCCCATCCCATCCCATCCCATCCCATCCCATCCCATCCCATCCCATCCCATCCCATTTCATCCCATCCCATCACATCATATCCCAACCCATCCCATCGTGTTCCAACCCATCTCATCCTGTTCCATCTCATCCCATGTCATCTCATCTCACCTCAGTTATTTTGTTACTAAGTATCTTTATAAAAGACAAATGATTCTATTACTTTTCATGTACCAAGAGTAGTTTATAGTTTTACTAGTTTTATAACCCCTTTAATCTTCTTTTCTGACATACTCTATACCATATTTAAAGATTATACATAATCTTTAAATAGTCTCTGAACATGTATACCCTGTTACATCTGGGCTGTTGTTCACATATTCTTCTCCTGACAGGGGAGTTTCTTCCTGTTTCTGATACCATCTTTGGAAATCTTTGTCTTTATCAGAATTAACCCTTCACTCCTTGAATCCTGATTATCATCCTCCTTGCATTATGGTGGTTTGGGGAGGTTTATTGCTGTCTTTCCTAAGCTGGGGCTCCCACGGCACCAATCACATGTCAAAAATAATGTCCTGTACATAGTGCTCAGTAATGACACTAAATAACTTTTTAATTGTTCTTTCTTCTATTTGATTGCCAGGAACAATTTGGATATACCATAAATAATTATTTAGTCTCTCCCGATAGACAGTTTGTTCTCTTAGAGTATAACTATGTGAAGGTAAGAGAAATGCTTTGTTTCTGTGATATTTAATAAATATGAATAAATTGTTTTGTAACTAATTTTGTATCTAGGATTATTTAAGATAAACACAATATAATACAATGTAAACTAAAACTTCATTAATTCAGCATCTAAAAACTTGTTCATTAAAGAAATTCCCATCAAATGCTCCTTAAAAAAGTAATTTTCAGATACTAATCATTATGAATATTATAGATACTGAAGACATTAGTTAATAAAATAGAATTTATAATAAGCATATATTACTTAAATTATATATTTTACCTGACATGTGAATCAGTAATGCTTCTCAAACTTTACTAAGATCCTAAGCATTTGCTTTGCAGAGTGAAACTTGAGCCCCGGAGATAGCTCAAAGGACTGAGTGCATGGTTTGCATTCAAGAATCCTAATTGACTACCTGGCACTGCGTGGTACCTGGAGCACCACCAGCAGGGACCCTACTTTTCCTCTTCAAAAGAGAAATACAATCCTCATACTCCTAAGATTCTCTTTGGGGGAAGATGGGAAAAAGACTCCCAAGTGGTGCTCACGAGGTCCTAGGTACACACTTATGATGCTTAGTCAACTGAACCATTAGTTCCAGTACAAGGACCCAAGGATATAATGCTGCCTGACTCTATAGTGCCAGGGATACTGGCACCACCCTAACATTGCTGCAGGCATCCAGGGGCATGCCTAGCCCTTCGTGGGAGTCTCCAAAGCTGCATATAGCGATGCTCGATGCCCAGGGAACCATATAAGGACAGTCATTGAACCTGTGTGGGATGCATGCCAGACAAGCACCCTTACAAGCACCCTTTACTATCACCCTGCGCCATCCTGAAGTGATTCTGCAGTGTTGTCTCTAACACCTCCCAGCATACAGGACCCACCATATACAAACCATTCTAAAAGGGAACCTTAGCTCTGGCCATCAGTGCCCTGAAGGGAGCACTCAGCTAATTCCAGTCTCTCAGCCCCAAATTCAGATTCTCAGGGAAGCATATAGGTAGCTGCAAAGTGGCAGCAACAGAATCTACAACCTGGGGTTATTGGAGGACTTGACAAATGCTGTTGAGTGTAGGAAATGTTGAGACATGTAGAAAAATGAAAAGCCTGTGGAGAAAACTCTGCACTGCAAACAATACAAAGTTAGGGATACCCAACTCTGATGTTTGTCTAAAATAAATGATAAGTACTCAGTGTTTTGTCTAAAATATATAACAAGTGCTGAGTCATCCCAAAACCAGATTGTGCTGTTCTTGAGAAGCAAACCAGTTCCTTCTAAATTTCCCATTTTGGGATGGTGACTTCCTGTCAAAATTTTTACCCGGAATGACCATACTGGACTCCATTTATGAACAACAAAATTTTACTAGATCAGCTACAATCAAATCAGAGTCTGTAGCAATTTTAGAAAATGTCTTTCTAAATCCAGTGTCTAGTGAATAAAGTAAATAAAACACTGGAATATATCCATTGTCTATGGAATAAAATCCCTTGAAGACTTTAAAAAAATTCAATCAGGTTTTCAGATTGAATTTAATAAATGGAAGTCTCTGGGGGTGAGATTGGCTCACATACACACACATATTTCTAATGAGCAAACAGGATTGAGAATCATTGAGTAATGGTTGTCCATGTTAAAGGCAAACATAAAAACTGTAAAGTTGGGTAGAAACAGAAAAGTAAATACCAGTTAAATTTTCCATTTAGCCAAGTTCAATAAGCACCATTTTGTGTGTACTAAGTGATGTATTTCACCGGTAGACCTCAGCAATAACATCATCATTGATAACTTGAATTTGCTCTGTCACCAGGGAGAGTACTTACGTGTATTTCATTGCTTTTGCTACTTTCAATCTGTCCTCTTCCTTCTGCCATCCATTCTTTCATCACTTTGCAAAGAGCTCCTTTAAGCCTATGTTAGCTCAACAGTAGAGCTCCTCCTTTGCATGTGTGAGGCCCTGGGTTTGACTCCAATCACTGAAACACGATCTTTGTCCCTGGACTGGGGGTGTGGATTAATGGCATAGTATTTGCCTTACACGTGTTAGGCTCTGGGTTTGATCCCTGGTACAGCAACAAAACAAAACTCTGTGCTGAAACCCTCATCATCAACAGATTCCCGTCACCTTCTACTCATAAATCTATCTATGGCCTTCTCAGAGGAATTGCACTCTGCTTAGGCCCCTCTGAAATCATCTCTTACTACCTTTTCTGTACTCTCTATGATTGTTCCATGCTTCCTGTCCCTTAAGGTCAGGTAAAAAATATAGATACTTTTAGCCTTCTCCAAATTAACTAACAGGGTGAAGGGCAGGGAGGTAAGTAGGATTAGACTGAAGAGCTCCCAGACACCCCAGTGGCCTTTGATCAAATGTTACATGTCTTTTGCATTTGTTTTTATATTTTATTTTTTGGTTTTCAGCCATACCTCACAGTACTCAGGGCTTACTTCTGGCTATGTGATTAGTGATCACTCCTGGAAGTGCTTGGGAAACCATATGTGATGCTGGGCTTTGAACTTGGGCCAGCCTAATGCAAGGTGCCTTAACACCTGTATTTCTGGCCCCCAAAGTTAAGAGTCTGTAAGTCACCTGATTTTTATTTTTTCTCAAGCATCTCTTTCATTTCCATCTCAGTTAGGGTAAAAACATTTGCTCTTTGTACCCATTAAAACCCTGATCCCTAATTGTCATATGGTTCTCTATTTTTAATAATTCAGCTCCAAACTTTCTTAAGTCACTTTGTGTAGCATTGACCCCCTCGCCTCTTTGATTCCACTCTGCCATTTACTCTCATTCACTCTTTACTGTTGGTTTTTGACCCTTGCCTAGGTGGAAGACCTCTATCACTAAACTGGTCAAAAGTATTACTGCCTCCCCAAAGTCCAAATTATGATTTCTCCCTCACTCTACCCTCCTCCATTGCACCTCTGGTGGTTGCTTTTCTTGTAGCTTATGTCTCCATGTCTCCCATTCAGCTGCCAGATCCTCAAGGAAAGAGATCCGATATTATACACTAACACCTCATCAAAAAGAGCTGTCAATGTTTGTAGCCTAAGTAGATAGATACATCTGTTTCAAAAGGTAGTGAACACACTGAACATGTTTGGTTTCCTTTGTATGACCCATAAGGAATTTGCCACCATAAAATGATCTCAAGCCTTTTGAAATTTTTTAATTATTTTAGCCAGTACCATACTTTTTGGTTCTAGCAAATATTATTCTCAGAGCTTTCCCAGAAACAAGTTTGGGGTGTGTCAGAATAATCAGGAATCAAAAAGGAATGCATGTCTTTTGAAAAGTGGGGACTTAATAAGTATTTGTTGACATAAAGGGATAAGATGTGATAAATGATGTCTGGGAAACACTCCTCAAGGTTAAGAGCTCTGGCTTGTGTCTCAGTACTCCTGTTATACAGTTGGATGGCCTTGGGTTACCCATTTTACCTATTTCGTTGTCATTGGTAAGATTTGATTTACATTTTCGGATGCTTCATTTCTTAAACATATATGATGAGGCTTGCAGTTGAACAGATTCCAGATGCTCAGAAATGAATAATATGCAATTTCTCACTTCTAGGACTATGGTAATAAGAACAACTTATACATAAATAATTTTTCTTCAAAAATCTTTAACATATACATCCACATATAAGCATATGTGGATTTTCTTAAATTCAATATCTGTAGTAATGTATTTTTGAATTTTCAGTTCTTTTTTTTCAATTTATGCTTGGGTCCAATTCCTTAACCTGCCTTTCCCTAGGTATCTCATATTTAGAAACTAGCATACATTCCTCCTTGTATAATATATTTCTGCTAGTCATATAATTTATATAAGCTATTTTGGGGGATTTTTGTTATTTGTCTGGGGGCCACATCTGGCAATACTCAGGGATTACTCCTGGCTCTGCACTCAGGAATTACTCTTAGTTGTGCTCAGAGGACCATTATGTGATTGAACCTGCATCCACTGTGTACAAGGCAAGAGTCCTACACATTGTACTATCTCTCCATCCCCAAGATAGTTTCTTTTTTTAAAGTTATTGCTTACTCTAAAAAAGTGAAATTATATTTATTTTTTTTTCCAAAGTATTCACTCAGTGATACACCATGGAACTTCTTTCCAGTCATCTAGTATGTCTCTAATTAGTTTTCTTTTAAATGAATAGACTCAGGGCCAGAGAGATAGGTCAATAGGCTAGAGTGCAGGCTGCGTTATTATGAAATGAAAGAGGCTTATTGTAATATGTATTATGTTTGACAAAATTTTTGTCAAAATTTCTGACACACCCCAATATTATATGTTGTAATATGCAATATGTTTTTGACAAAAAGAGGCATATTGTAATATATAATACATTTGACAAAATCCAGGAAGAATATAATGGACTTTTAGTTAATGATGCATCAACATTGATTCATCAGATGTAACCAATGTACACAAACCATATGACTTGTTAATAAAAGGGGAAATAGTGGGAGTGGAGCAAAGGTGGGGATGATGAGATGGTGGTGGCGATAGTAAGGAAACAGATAGGAACTTCCTGCATTTTCGATTCATTTTAAAAAATACTAACATGATTTTTAAAAATGAAATTTTTTATTATATTATTCTTATTATTTTAAATTAGTGTTGGGGACATCCCTCAAGGTGCTCAGTCCGAAGCCTGTTCTCAGGAATCATTTCTGCTTGTGCTTAGGGAGTGATGAATCCGCACTCATACAAGGATTGTGTCCCAGCCCTTTAGGTGATTATCCCAGTCCCTCATTTCTGATATTGATCATTCATGCATTTTGTGTATACTCTTATTTTATTTATTTCATAATTATTAATATTATTATTTTGCTTTGGCCTATGCTGAGGGCTTACTCCTGGTTCTTCCCTCAGGGAAGAACTCCTGTACTCTTGTACTTCTGTACAGCTCAGGGCATCATATGGAGTGCCAGGGATCAAACCTAGGTATGTGGCATGCAAGGCAGTTGCCCTACCTGCTGTGCCATCTCTCCAGCTCCCCAACCTTAATATATTTAAAATAATTTTTAAATGTATGTATCTTGATGTTTCATTCTCCCCACCTTCCCTTCATTGTTGTTCTGGTAAAGGAGGGAAAGACATGAGACAGACACATCCCTGGCTGTGGTACTCACATATTTAGTTGTAGGGCTCTCTGGGAGTTGCAAATTGGGTTGCGGTGTTTGAACTTAACCTGGGTGCTCACCCAGGGTTGCACTTCTTTAGCTGTGGTGTTCACACACAGTCTTGCTGTAGTGCTTTCCAGAGGTTCCACTTCCTGGCTGTGTTGTCACACAAATTTTGATTGTTGTGTTCCCCAGGGGTCTCATTCTTTTGCAGAATTAATCACCCCTATGGGAAGATCATAAATCCCTGACAGGGATCACAAAGTGAAGCAGCCAGGCTCAGACAGCAGATCTGCAAAGATCGTGCTCAATCTATGTGGTGGCACTAAGGATTGAACTAATTTGCTTGCAGGCCAGCTACTCTAATACACTGAGTTATTTATGGTTTCTGTCTCACTGTTATTAACACAAATGAGCCAGCGCAATCAGCAGTGCTAACGGGCTAATCTCAGCTCTGTGCTCAGGGGTCACTCCTGGTGTTGCTTGGGGGAAGTTGCAGCATCAGGCATTTAACCTGGGGCTCCTGCAAAGTCCATGCTCCAGTGGTTGAACTATTTCCCTGGTCCCATTATTTGTACTCTATTCGTCTTTTTAAAGAACTGTTTTTTGTATTGGGCCCGCTCGAGCAAATGGATGAACAAAGGGAGGACCGTGACCATGATGTTTCTCTATTGTCCATTTTCTATGAATATTGCTCTTATCATTTTTCTTTTTCCTCATTTCTTTCTATTTAATTTTCATTTTATTTACTAAACTTTTGAGATTATTGTTTAAATTATTGATGATAGCAAAATAAAGCAAACAAAAAATGTTGGTGGTATATGTATTTAAGTTTTAATATATATTTCCAGGTGTCTTTCAAATATTGATAACTCTTTATTTTCATGATCAATGTTGGAAAGTGAATATTTCTCCATATTACCAATGTTAGAAACATAGAACTTTTCAGTTGAAAAATGAAAACTTGCATTTTGTTAAATAAGTGACTCAAATGTTGTACAGGAAGTATCACTTTAACCTACTGTGGTCCTTGGAGACGCTTTGACAGGGGTGTTGCCAGAAATAAATTACAGATGGAATCTGGAGAAGTTTGGAGTACGGGAGGTTAAACCCCCAGCCTTTATATGTGTAAGGTGAATTCTCTGCCACTGAGCTACATGTCCAGCCCAGAGATGTTTGTACTAGTTGTTGTCTCAGATACTTCTAATATCCAAATTCCAGAAATCTAGATATAAAATTGTAAGAAATAATAAAACTAGAGAATTATACAATATAAATGACTTTTTCCCTCTCAATCAATATGAGAGGAAATGGCAAATGGCAAGAATCAAAGAATCCTGAAATGTCTATTGTTGTTCTCTCTAGCAATGGAGGCATTCGTACACAGCTTCGTATGACATTTATGACTTAAATAAAAGGTTAGTGACTTCCTTATAAAATGGATTACACGTTCTAGTCTTATATTTTTAATGTCACTGTGACTTGATAATTTAATTTGATAACATTTCTTTTTATCTTTCTTTTTTCCAGTGAGCTGATTAAAGACTTTAAAATTCCAAACAACACACAGTGGATCTCATGGGCCCCAGAAGGTCACAAATTGGTTAGTGATGGCCCAAATTTTTCTGCTGTGGAAGCTACTAGTCCTGCTGTAGAACAGCCCCTTAGGGAGTCAACAGTTCACTATCAAATACAGCATCATCACTTCATATGTGATTTCATTATCCTGCAGCAAATTCCTGAGTGCTTGTGACCACTGTTAAGGGCATAGTTTATTTCCTGGGGAAATGCTTAGCAAACACTTAGAGTCTCATTTCTGTTAAACTTAGTTTTGTTTGTTTATTTGCTTATTTTGGTCTGTATTTGTTTTGGGAATCTCCCAGTGGTACTCAGGAACTATATTGGCTCCTTCGTAAGGCTTATTCCTAGCTTTGTTTGGGGAAACCCAAACCATGTTTCTTGAATGTAAAACAAGTACTCCATGTCCCATGAGCTATCTCCAAGAGCCTGCATGTAGCTATTTTTTAAAAGGCATACCTGCCTTATGGTAACTTTCAGATTTTTTTTCTGTGCCACTATGAACATATGTTCTGTAATGCAAAGAGAATGTCAAAAGTCCAAAATAATCAAACAGAAAGAGACAATATTTATCTGCAGTTGAATTCTCCCTCTAGGAATGCAAAAAAGCCTCTGTTTATTCTACCCTACTCCCCCAAAGAGGAAAGAAATGCAAACATAGGCCACATCCTATAGAGCTGACTAGTCTTCTAGGTCTTCTCATATACTTCAACATTGAAATGATTATGAACTTATTTTTAATAGAGAAAGCATATTTTTAGAATAATGAGGGAAGCTTTATTTGTTTAGTTTTGTTTTGTTGTTGGGAAAGGGAGCTCAGCTCTGCTCAGCTGTGCTCAGGGATTACTCCTGGCTCTGTGCTCAGAGACCACGTCCGGTGCTGCTCAAGAGATCATATGCAGTGCTAGGGACTAAACCCGGGTCAGCCACATGTCCACTGTACTATCTCTCTGATGCTATTTGGGGGATTTTGTAACTCTTATGATTATAATTAAAAGTAAATGAATCTTCATCTTGTTCAAATTAAATAGGGAAATTAAATAATCCACTTGGATATCAACTATTAAAGGATGCAGTGACAATTATTTTTGAAAACTCTAAGAAAAAATAAAATGTGGTGTTATTCATCAATATTTTTAATCTTTGTAGGCATATGTTTGGAAGAATGATATTTACGTTAAAATTGAGCCATATTTAGAAAGTCACAGGATCACCTCAAATGGGAAAGAAGATGTCATATATAATGGAATAACAGACTGGGTTTATGAAGGTAGAAACTACATATTTTTATTTCTTCTCAAAAATCTATAAGCCTTAAAAATTCATTGAAAATTGAGTAAATTTAATGACATTCAAGGTTAGTTGCATGTTTTAAAATGCTTTGGAATCTCAGCACCCACAAGACCAGGTAGCTCATAAAACAAGCATTTGTTAGCAATAGCTCCTGCTGTCCTCATTGTGTCTCAATGCTCCTTTGTCTTTAAGTTCCCTACTACAAAGGGCCCTTCTGTGTATGCAGGTAGCTTTTCTGCTTTACTGGAACATAAAAACCACCAGATTAGCATCAGATGTTTCTCTAACTAGGTTTGCCTACCCCAGAAGTTACTACAGACTAGCAATCTACAAACTCAGAAAATATTAGGAAAGCATTTCATGTCTATAGTTGCCAAGATAAGACACTTTGATGCTATTTCAAATCATTCACCAGGTTGCCTCATGCTTACTCAAGTCATCCTGTACTTCTTACAAAGTTTTCCTTCATGACTTAATTTTAGTTCTTACCCAGTGTGAATCAAGTTCAATTTGATGGATAAAATTATAGCAGAAAAGAATCACTTTTTGAGAAAGATGAACTCCTGTGGTCCAAAAATAAGTGATTCAAACTAGTCATGGAATTTATTATCACTAGTCATGTAGAGATTGAAAACTTCTTCAAGCATGTTCCCAAGGCGTGACACTTCCTGCTCCTCTGCTCCTCCCTGGAGCAGCCTAGAGGAACAGGACTTCCTGAGTAGACTGAAGACTCAGGTTCATTTTCGAATCCCATCACCATATAGTCTCCAGAACAGCTCAAGAAACACATCCTTCCTCCCCAACCCCCACGACACACACACATACCCAACTCCCCACCCCGGAGGAGTAAGGGGAAGAACCTAAACCCTGAGCTCTGCAGGATGTAGCCCCAAACGAAAAACAGCAATACTAAAAGACTTCTCTAGTGTTTTTTTTTTCTAAGACAGAGGGATTATGTGTGTGTATGTGTGTGTGCGTGTGTGTGTGTGTGTGTGTGTGTGTGTGGCAGAGAGAGAGAGAGAGAGAGAGAGAGAGAGAGAGAGAGAGAGAGACCCTGAATAAACTGTTCACAAGTAAAAGATGATTTCACAGAGCCAAAGTGAGCCACTCACATAACAGAACTTGAGTCCTGCAAAGAAATTCTGCTGCTAGTTTTATTGATTTAAAAATGATCCCTAGGAAGAAAAGAGAACACCTGTTTCTCCATATCACCCTCTCATTCATTCTGCTGTCACTTTTGGAGACTTGTTTCAATCAAAATAGTACGTTTAGAAAATCTGTAGGTTCACAAACAAAAGAGTAAAGCTCCTAGGTCATGATATGGCCACGTGCCCAATAGGAGCCCACTGTAGCACTGTAGCACTGTCTTCCCGTTGTTCATTGATTTGCTCTAGTGGGCCCAGTAACATCTCCATCATGAGACTTGTTGTTACTGTGTTTGGCATATCGAATACGTCACAGGTAGCTTGCCAGGTTTAGCCATGTGGACGAGATACTTTTGGTAGCTTGCCGGGCTCTCTGAGAGGGGCAGAGGAATGGAACCCGGCTCGGCTGGGCTGGCTATGCACAAGGCAAACGCCCTACCACTGTGCTATTGCTTCAGCCCATATTCTGTAATTTGTGCCCCAGATCCTCCCGTGACCCCAAATAGCTTTCTGTTTTCACCTTCCTCATTTCTTAATATTTTACTGAATTGTTGCTTGAGCAATAGTACAGCGGGTAGGGCGTTTGCCTTGCATGCAGCCAACTTGGCCAACCCGAGTTCAATTCCTCCGCCCCTCTTGGAGAGCCTGACAAGCTACCAAGAGTATCTTGCCTGCATGGCAGAGCCTGGCAAGCTCCCTGTGGCATATTCGATGCCAAGCACAGTAACAACAAGCCTCACAATGTTACTGGGCCCGCTTGAGCAATTTGATGAACAATGGGAGGACAGTGACAGTGACAGTGACAGTTGCTTTTGTTTAGGTATCTTTTGTTAATGCCAATACTGTGTCTTCTTAGCAAGCTAATTGCATGAAGAGTCACATTTCAGTATGAAGATAGTTTACCTAATCCAGACCTGAGGATAAGAATTTTGTTGAGAGCAAGTATGATAACAGTTAAAGACCAAGTTTTATGAAATGGAATGTTCCTTATTCCTCTGAAGTAGGAGAGTGGAGGATAATTCAGTGCAATTTACCTGGTAATTAGAGATCTTTTGGAACCTGCCTGTCTCATTTTTCCTATCTACCTATTGAGTTATTTGTAATGGTTAACTAAGATAGCAGATGTCAATTGCTCAAAAATAACTGATGAATAGTTAGTAGTCATTAAATGTCAGTTGTTCATCATAGATGTTGTATTTTATTATCATTGTTACTACTATTACTACTATTGAAAAAAGTAGTTGGAAGAAAGTACCTCCTTCAAGGCCTCAAGCATTTGAAAAATTACTGGGGTAATAGATTTTTCTAATCCTAAAATTTGAAATTTGTTTTTTTTTTCTTTTCTTTTTTTTTACTTTTATACTCACGGCAGAACTAACTTGAAAATTAAATCTTACCAACAGACTCCACCCAGTCTCCTTGAATCCTCCATTCCTTGGGAAAAGAGGTTTCGGTATTTTAAAATCAAGAGACTGGGATTCCTTAAATAACTATCTACAAACACAACACACACACACACACACACACACACACACACACACACACACGAGCTACCTCTGCCAGAGATGGAGAACAGATCTGACAGTATTTGAGAAAGCAAGATCTTTCTTTTCATTTGCCTCCCTCTCTGACCCTCTTTGCTCACCCATCAATTTATACACCAGAGGAAGGTGTTAATCCAAGGGAGTCTTCAGTTTCTGAGCTCAGCTAAGGAAATGTATCTCGGTAGGGTCTCGTGGAACTCCTTGCCATTCTAAATCCATCCTCCCACACCTTGTTTGTGCCAAGAATAGTAAACTCTGGGCACCATATTGGTTTGATAGCCTGGAGCCACACACCACCCACCAGGACCCTGCGGGCTTAGTACAAAATGAGCCCAGTTGGGGAGACTATGCTGGCATGTTGACTGAAAAATTAGAAAGGAGAATCAGCCCCTTGTGTGAAATTTACTTTTAGTATGTTTTACAGCATAAATTTAGAGGATTATAAAATAAAGAAAAAAATGTAGTTTATATTAAATATTGTGTGCTAAAATATTCTAAAATGGTCCAACGGGTTACTTATTTTTACAATCCAGATCTATCCTTGAAGATTTTATTTTTATTCAGTTATATTACTCTGATTTTGGAAGCCCAGCAAATGCAAAGTGGTTCATTAGTTGAACTCTACTGTAATTACTAAAGCTAATGAGAACAATATTTTGAATGCCAAAGCCAATTTATCAGCTACTTCTTGTAACAGAACAATTTATGTCTTTTTCAGAGGAAGTCTTCAGTGCCTACTCTGCTCTGTGGTGGTCTCCAAACGGCACTTTCTTAGCATATGCCCAATTTAACGACACAGAAGTCCCACTTATTGAATACTCCTTCTACTCTGATGAGTCACTGCAGTACCCAAAGACTGTGCGGATTCCATATCCAAAGGTTTGTGCTCCTATTCCTAAAGTTGTTCCGTGATTTGATGGGAAGAGAATGGTTTCATTTAATCCTTTCCTGCTAATGAAAATATTGTCAGTCTCTCTTCAACAGCTTGCTGTGATTACTCTTGCTGAAGTCAACAGCATCTGGCAATTTTAAAGTATTTTTATTATCCCAGGAAAGAGTGTGATTTAAGGTTTTGTAATTTCTCCAAAAACTTTGAGGAATGACAAGCCGAAAAAGATGGGGGAAAATGCTTTTGAACGAGGTAGGGGAATGAAAATGTTTGAATGGCAGAAAAGAGAGGCTGTAATTGAATCACAAGCTCATCTCATTTGCAGAAGTTGGAATGTGCCCTAGATGAAGCTGAAAGCTTAGTTTGTATATCCGGTCTTATCACTAATTAACGGAACACGTGACTAGGTCTAGTGGTTCTATTATAGATTTGGCACTAATGTAAATTTCACAGGTCCCACATGGGAAATAATAGTGTCACGTCTTGGTTTTCAAAACTGTGCTTCCCCTTGGGGTGTATTTCTATGAAAACCGAAGAGTGTTATTAAGCTCTAAGCTAAGAAAAGGGAATTTAGAAAGAACCAGGAGTCTTCGCTAGTATTATGATAATAATGTTCATAGCATAACATGTGGAAAAATCTAATAGCAAAATGTTTTCTGCTGTGAGCAATTTAGGGAAGTCAATGATTATTTTTACCAACTTACTCAATTTGATTTATGAAGTTTTGCCATTTTAAGAAGACAGGAAGTTAAAAGAAAAAAGATCAGAAACAAAATATGGAGTTATCTTTTCAGTGTAATCTTATTTTAGATGGATAAAATTGGCAAAAAAACCCCACATATTCTCACTAAAAATATCATTATTTTTAACTAATTTGTCAAATAAAGATCAATCTATATATATGAAATCATTTTATAGATTTTTCTCATCAGATTCATTATAAAGTTCCAACATTGTGATGCTTAGCATGAAAATGATGAACTCCTAATTAGCATGCATTGGTACTTGGTTAGGTAAACTCATTTTCTTTCTTATTACTTTTTTTAATTGAATCACCGTGAGATCCAGCTACAAGTTTTCATGTTTGAGTTTCTATCATACAATGATCAAAGACCCATCCTTCCACCAGTGCACATTCTCCACCACCAATGTACCCAGTATAGCTCCCACCTTCTGAGCTCTCCCCCTGCCTCTGAGGCAGACAGTTTCCCCCATTCTCTCTCTACATTTGGGCATTTTGATTTAAGTAAACTCATTTTCTTGGTGGACTATGCAGTTAGCTCAACCTACTGATCAGTTATTAATTACTTAGTTTTTCTTTTGTTTTGAAACCTTGGAGGTGTTCAAGTCTTACTCCTAACTCTGTGCTCAGGAGTTACTCCTAGTGGGACTTGGGGGACCATATGTGATGCTGGGTTGGTTGCATTTAAAGCAGGCATCTTTTGCTCCTGAACTATCTCTACAGTTCTCATTAAACACTACTTTCTTCTAGAGTTAGAGTTTAAGGAACTTATCTTTGCAGGACTGAACTGGAGTGATAGTACAGTGGGTTGCACTTTTGCCTTGCACACAACTAGCCCTGGCACCACAGTGATAGCCTGAACTCTACCAGGAGTGAACCTTAGCATTGCCAGATGTGACTGAAAGAAAGAGAGAAGGGACAGAGAGAAATAATGAACAAAAGAAATAATAAAAGAAAAGGAAGGAAGGGAGGGAAGAAGGGAGGAAGGAAGGAAGGAAGGAAGGAAGGAAGGAAGGAAGGAAGGAAGGAAGGAAGGAAGGAAGGAAGGAAGGAAGTCTACCTTCACATAAAGTACATATATTAGAAACACTTGTTATTCAAACAGGAAAGCGTCAGTCCTTCATAGTACATATAGTACATATCTATATTTGAAATATATATGCCTGAATATGAAAAGATTACATTTTGTGTCTTTTCCTTATGTTCATTGTGTTTATATTAAAAATTTTAATGTGTCAATATTATTATAACTTTATGGTTATAATCAGATTTTTATACAGATTTTTTTGTTTTTAGGTCAATACTCAGTGATTTTCAGGGGTTACTCTACCTCAGTAATTGGGGTCACTTCAGCATTGCACAGGGTATCATGCACTGCCAGGAATTGAGTCCAGGCCTCCTGAAAGCAAAACTTGCACTACATCTCATTGAAATATCTTAAATATCTCTCTAACCCTTATACAGCTTTAAATTTTTTTTTGATATTATTTATTTGTTAATACCAGTTTCGTGTCTTTCCCCCCGCCCAGGCAGGAACTGAGAATCCAACTGTGAAGTTCTTTATTGTAAATACGAATATTCTGAACACAAACCCAAGCTCTCCTGTACAAGTCACTGCTCCTTCTTCTATTTTGACTGGGTAAGACACCTAAGTCAAATACTTGTCTTATAAACAGTTTCACTGCTTCCAGGGAGAACATTAAAAGATAATTGGCAGATTGATTGCATCATTCCATTGTGTGAAGTTCCAGGAAGTTATTTATTCTTTCTTTCACCAATCCTGTGTTGAGCACCTACTTCATACTGAGCACAACCTAGTGATGGGAGTGTGGAATAATTCCTGGGGCCCTGAGGCCTGCACTACAGGTTGGGAAGGCAGGAAACAGCCAGAGAAAAAAAGTAAAGGTAAAGGTAAAGGTAAAGGCCCTCCCGTTGATCGTCGATTTGCTCGAGCGGGCCCAGTAACGTCTCCATTGGAGACTTTGTTGTTACTGTGTCTGGCATATCGAATACTCTCGGTAGCTTGCCGGGCTCTCCGAGAGGGGCGGAGGAATCGAACTCGGGTCGGCCATGTTGGCCGCGTGTAAGGCGAATTCCCTACCCGCTGTGCTATCGCTTCAGCCCGCGCGAAACTGTCAAATGTTAAGAGAAGACAATATTGTGAAGAAAATCAAAATAACATCGATGATAGTGCTGGTGAAGAGAGGTATAGACAGCCCTCAGGGATAAAATGACACAGAAGTAGTGTCTGCGGGGGGGGGGAGGGGATGAGGGCAGACAAATAGCATAGGAAATATGACACATACATTGCCTGTGGAAAACTCTGGTTCAAATCCCAGCACCACATCTGGTACCCTGAGAGCTACCAGGAGTGACCCCTGAGCATAGAGACAAGAATAAGCCCTGACACCAACAGCGGTGGCACCCTCCTTACACAAACACACACATACACATAAAAACACATATACACACAAACACGCAGAAGTAGTAATATAAAGAGAGAATCTAGCTCCATGGATGATTGGAGATTCAATATCTGGAGAGAGTATGAGCAAGTGCAAAAAACACTAGTGCAGCAAGTTAAGCAGAAAGGACAAAAGTAGAAATAGGGTCATATCACATGAGACTCTGCAGGTGTTGATAAGAGCTAGAAAAATTCAGAAAAGCTGAAAATTAAGCTTAGGAAGCCTCCTGACAAAGATGTACATCAATGTATTACTTGCTTTAGGCTGGAAAGATAGCACAGCGTTTAAGACTCTTTGGCTTGCATGCTTAAGACCTATTTCCAGAATCATATAGTTCCCTGAGCAACCCTCGAACACAGAACCAGAAATAGTTTTGAAGCACTACTGATAGTGACCCCAAACACTACCCTTCAAAATATAACTTGCCTTAATAATCCTCAGTAGTCTGCAATTTTGCCCTTGAGCACCCTTCTTTTCACACCTTATTTCTCTATAAAGAGAACCACCATGTTGTATGGAACTGATGGCTCTCAAGTTGCTTTGTACTAATTCTCATTACTTAGGTTGGTTTTTCTGTCGCTTTTAAATAACAGCTAGTATATTTTGAGTGCTCACTATATTCCGGGACACACGATCTATCTTATTCATATCTAAAGCAGGTCTCTCTTTTCAACAGCTATTCTATATCTGTTTTTGAGATTTTAAAAAAAATAAGGCCTAGCTATTTAAATATTATAATGAAGGAATCGATAGTGGACTCTTTCTGCCCAGTATGAGGTTTTAAGTACTATGTGAGAGGCCTCCCTCACTGCAAATTCATCTGGTAACTCCAGATTCCTGAAATTGCCACCAGATAAAAGGAGAGACATCTTTTATCTCAGGATTTCACTTACTACATCATGACCAGGCTTTGCTCTGTGGCTACTCATTTATTAATGTGATTAGACAGACTTCCATTAACTTATTCATCCTAGGAGAAAGAAAGTTAAGAATTAACATTTTTTCCCTAAAGTATGTCCTACAGACATAAAAATTGTTCTAGGAAATTCTACAGTCTGCTGTTTAGTGTGGTACAACCATTTCTTCTAGCAGCCCTTTCAAGTATCCAGGACCTCTAGTACTTATGATCTGGTAAAGGAAACAAAGGCAAGTTGCACCAGAAGAAGGGGAGACAGGATCCTGAACATGAAGAACGCATCTTAGAGAGTCAGGTGTAAGGCCAAAACCACCAGGCCCAGTTGGAAGGAAAAACATTGAGGCAGAAAGAATGGGGCATGGGAAACATGGGGACATCCACATGAAGTACCGGAGTCATGGCTTGACCTTTTTGTTAATCTGCAACTCCTGCTCTAAAAAAACTGAAATAAGCTTTTGGCTTTACCAGTAGCTTAATGTGGTAAGAGCCTGGAAACCTTTCTTCAGGTAGTGAGATGCCACCCAGTGAAGGGTGGGAGACTCAGATCACTGCTTGGGAAGTAGACAGCCCAAACTCTACAGTTCCTTTTCTTCTCCTAGGATACTGAAGAGGTTAGCTAGAACTTGTACATGTTCTAGAACACTCTCAACACTTCAGTGTAAGACACATATGAGAGACTTGAGAACCAGAGAGATTAATTCATTTTTTTACAGTCACACAGAAAATTAGATGGGAGTTGGGAACTAGACCAGAGGCCTGTGCCACTAGTGCAAATGAAAATTTACAGTCTTCCTGTCTTCCTTCCTTCCTTCCTTCCTTCCTTCCTTCCTTCCTTCCTTCCTTCCCTTCTCCCCTCCTTCCCTCTTTCCTTCCTCTCCTCTCCTTTTTCCTTCCTTTTCCTTTTTCCTTTTGGGTCATAGTCTGCAGTGGTCAGGGCTACTCCTGATTCCGTGTTTGGAAGTCCCTCTCAGCACTGCTGCAGTGCCAGAAATCAAACCTAGTACTCCCACGTGCAAAAACTGTGCCCCAGCCTTTTGAGCTATCTTTCCAACCCCAATATGCTGTCGTTGTAAAGGTCACATCACAGACAGGAGTTAGAATCTCCCCCCACTTAAAAATCACTTTCCACAGTGCCAGTTGTAAACTGCTGAGCTAAGGAAGCTTAAACATTTTTTAAGGATGTATTTTCTTTTCTAGATGGATTAATCATTTAATCCCCAAATCCTTATTCTACACTCCTGGTGCAAGCTGCCTCATTCACTGTGGATTTCTTGTGTGCAATTTAATTTACCAAAGAATTATTTCTGAAAATGTCACAAGGTGTACTGTATAAGAAATTTCAAATCCATCTCTGATCTGTCAACACCAGTATGGCCCATAACTTGTCTACATCCAGACTTGGGTTCCTCTCTGGGGAACAGATCCTTGTCTGTGCGCTATTCTGTGTTCTATCTCATGCAAAGACCCAGAAGAACCAGGTTTATCCAGGAAAGTTACACCTAATAAACTACTCAGCACCTTTTGCTGAGTTCAGTTCACTCCTTCCTGTTATTGAGGTCCTAGGAGTCTGGATGTGACTCAGCCTTAAAACACCTGCCTGACATGTGTTGAGGTTTTGGCTTCAATCCCTGGAGCTGCAAACAAAGCAAAACAAATGAGATGTTTCATTGAGACTGACTTGCGAGGCACTGTTGGGTTCAGCATACTTCTCTCACCTCTGCCCATGCATTAATTAATTCTCTTGTTCAACCATGTACACAGTCACTTTAATTCTTTTTTTTTCCTTATCTTGTACTTTTGCTACTGAGATTCTAGCAGGTACAAGTCAACAAGAGGTTAAGTCTGTTTTGCTGTTATAGTGTCTGTTATAATGTCAGGAATAAGCTCTTCTGATCAAAAGCTCTTCTGATCAAGTACAACATCATTGGTCTGACCGAGACAAGAAGGCACGAATCTCACCATGCCGTTTTCGACACTGGAGAAGAATTGTTCCTCAGAACATGCGATAAAAGAGGTGTTGGAGGCGTCGGTGTCCTTGTCAACACAAACTTGGCCAAGAGCATTGATTCATTCGAATGCCTAACAACCCGAATCGGACGTTTACATTTGAATAGATGTGGCTCACTGCCTGCAGTTTCTATCTTCGTTGTCTACGCACCAACATCTCATTATGATGAAAGAGAAATCGAGAAGTTCTACATGGAGCTAGAGAAGTTCTATAAAGAAGACCACACCTTCTACAAGATCATTGTGGGTGATTTTAATGCCAACATAGGACCGAGAAGATCAGCTGAAGAACTTCACATCGGGACCCATGGCCTAGAATGGAACGAACAGGGTGAGAGACTGTCAGAGTTCATCATGTCGACCAAGACCATCCATGGTAACTCACAGTTCCAGAAGGCAGAATCTAAACGATGGACATGGGAGTCTCCCGGTGGACAATTCCACAACGAAATAGACCACATCATATTCAATCGACGGTTTTGCCTGACTGATGTCGCTGTTGTCGCAAAATTTTGAACGGGATCAGACCACTGTCTCCTTCGTGCAAAATTCTACTTCACAGAGCGGGGAGAAAGGGCTGCAAAGTTCAAAAAGAGAACTCCCAGAATGACCACCAACTGGGAACTCTTTGGTACTATTGCGGCAACATGGGAAGATGCCATTGTTGACAACATTGACGAGGAATACGATCGACTGGTTCAGCACCTCCATGAATGTGTGAGGAACGCCAAGAGAGAGATAGCCACAAAAAGTCGCCTATCTTCGAAAACTCTTGAGCTAATTCGCCAGCGTGGTTTGGCGCATGCCTCAGGCAACCGCAAGCTAACGTCCGAGCTTGCAAAGCAGTGCAGAGATGCGATCAAGGAAGACCTCAAAGAGAGAAGAGCAGAAGTACTGGTAGATGCGGCAGAAGCCGGGAAAAGTATTCGTAAGGCCCGCCTGTCCTTCGCCAACTATAAGACCAAGATGACTGCCCTCCGACGTCCTGATGGTTCCATCACATCCTCCAGAACGGCAATGGAGAAGATTATCCATGACTTCTACTCAAATCTCTTCCATAGCCATGTCCACTTGCCAACATACCAAATTCCACAGGATGGGTATGTTGTTCCCAATGTTCTCCCCTCCGAAATCCGACACGCCATTTCGTTGGTAAAGAAACAAACAGCACCCGGCCCAGACAAGGTCAGACCTGAACACCTGAAGAACCTGCCGTCAGTACTCATCAATACACTGGCTCAGCTCTTCACT